TTGTTCTTGAATAAAAGTAGAAGTACTCAGATCTTGTACTTGAGTAAAAGTAGAAGTACTCAGATCTTGTACTTGAGTAAAAGTAGAAGTACTCAGATCTTGTACTTGAGTGAAAGTAGAAGTACTCAGATCTTGTACTTGAGTAAAAGTAGAAGTACTCAGATCTTGTTCTTGAGTAAAAGTAGAAGTACTCAGATCTTGTACTTGAGTAAAAGTAGAAGTACTCAGATCTTGTTCTTGAATACAAGTAGAAGTACTCAGATCTTGTACTTGAGTAAAAGTAGAAGTACTCAGATCTTGTTCTTGAGTAAAAGTAGAAGTACTCAGATCTTGTNAATCACCCTTTTAAACTTTATTCTTGTTTTACTGTCATATAGTATTTTATACCTGTTTTTCATTTATTCTCTTATTTTTGTATAACTATAATGATCATATAAACGTGTGCCTCGGAAATAATTGTTTACATTAATGGTGACCAAAACATTTGAGACCCACTGAGAGAGTCCTTTAGTTCACTGAGTCTCTCAGTCTGGCAGGAGAGGACTCTCCTCCACTTTGTTGTTGAAAAAACTCCTTATATCCGTTAACCAGACGCTAACAACGATCTCCGGTACCGGCGCGCACACACACACACACACTCACTCACTCGCTCCCCCCCCGGCATGCCTCTGTTTAATAACGTTAAAAAAGGACATAGTATATTATGTCGAAAATATTGGAAAAAAACTGCAACGTTTATATGTTGAAAACATCAGAAAACATTTGATTGTACATCATGTCATAAAATGTGTCTTCATATAGTACGTCACAATATATGTCATTAAATAAAATGTCTTAGAAAACGGTCTGAAAATACTCTTAAATTTTTTTTGTAGTAAAGTATGTTGTAAATAACGTAGTAATTATAAAGTGTGTAAAATAAGAGCATGGGAAATAAAAACAAACACATTTTAGAACAGGATTGAGTTTATTTCCTAAGAAACTTGATTATTGAAAGTGTTAAATGTAATGGAGTCTCAATGCACCAAAACAAACCGGCAGCATTCCCAAAAACTAAAATAAAGTTCTATACAAATGTAACCTTTACAGAAAGACGAATTGCTTTAAATGTATACCTCTCAATAACTCTTGTAGTAACAGTGTTATTGTACCTGAAAACTGATTACCTAAAAACTACATCCTCAAATTATAATATATCTAAGCAGTCATATATTAATACACGCTTCTTCAACCAGAAAAATCTCTCAATCAGTACAAAGTAACGATTATCCTTTTACATTCAGTCTCTTGATACCATACACATGAACTTATTACAACAAAACAAAAGGAAACGGCTGAAAAATATTTACTCAGAATCAGAAAGATGTCTCCTGGAATATGGCAATGGTGATAACAATGAATGAATCAAATACAAACATTGAATAAAATGGACACAAAATAAACAGAAATGGTGCAAATGTAACAGAGCCGACTCCTAAATAACCCTGCTGCTGCTTAAATGGCAGAAGTTTATTTTAACACAGTGCTCACATGTGTGTTGAGCATATTCTAGTTTGGGTATAATAATACTAAAATGAGCACGACCTTAAAATCTAAAGCAATACAATGCAACATACACATAAGGCAGCACCAAAATTGATCCAAAAGAACATCTTTAGAACTAAAACCTTGAATATGAACATTTTACTGCACGATGAATACTTTTAGTGATTTTAACTTGTATACGAGTATATTTATAATATGGAACATTACTTAAGTAAAGGATCTGATTATTTATTCTACCACTGCACTCATTTCCATACTTGCGTACCATGCTGCGAATGGATCTGGCCCTTCCTACATCCAGGACATGGTTAAACTGTACACCCCAGCACTTATTGTAAGTCGCTTTGGATAAAAGCCTCAGCTAAATGCAATGTAATGTTAAAAATAATTATCGCCTTCGAGTGCGACCGTGTTAGAAAAAATACAAATTTAAATACAAAGTGGGTATTTTTGAGCACACATCTGAGTGTATTTCTGCCGTGGATATTAATTGTTTCCCCAATTTGTTTACAGTGTTGTTGCAGAACAAAGGAGCCACTTTATTGCCAGTATAGACTTCCTCAACAAGGTTTGCATGTGAGTACTGCATTCAAAATATCCTTTAAAACACAGATTTGAATACAGCCTACAGAGAGATTCCTCTTTACGGTAAATACATGAATGTACAAACTGGAAACACAAAGGGTTAGGTTTTTTAGAAGCCATTTCTGAAATATTCTATATGTTTACACTCATGCAACAATGACTGACAGAAGCTTACCATGCATGTTAGGCAAATCATCAGGATGGGTACGGTGAAGACTGGATGCTTGCTTGCTGTACTAGTGAAATATTGTATGTCACACACACAGACACACATTCATAGACAGACGGATAAAACAAACAGATGTGAACATGTACTGGAATGGTAAAGTTACCAAAACATATGATAACAAAGACAGAAGATTTAGAGAGATTAATTTAATCTCCTGCAGAGCCTGATAACTCTTTCTCTTTGTGCCATAGAGCTCCATTGTTGTCCGAAAACTATTTCAAACACACGAATAGGCCACACTGCCACACCGAGGGACATGTTTCATCATTAGCATGAACACACATTGTAGTTTATTTTTGCCTCGATCCCACATACACGGTCCTGCTGCTCCTAAAACTCACTACAGCACCGAATGTAAGAAAAAATGGCCGAAAATATTAATTTGATCGTTAAGATTATTGTTTAAATGTATGTCAATCAATTTACTGATTGGAATTCAATGCAAAATGTTTCAAACTGATACAATCAGTTGAAGACAACGACATCACTGTTGTACAATTACACATGTGTAATTTGGAAAATCTACTACGTATGTAAATTGTAATTTGTAATTACCTTTTACTTATATATTTTTTGTGCATGCCCTTTATCTTATCTCTCTATCTTCACTTTTGCTGTAAAGATGTACATTTCCCCGAGGAATAAAGATATTCTGATTCTGAATACCTGAGTTTTGGTATAGATACCAACTGCATACTTTTATCAATACCTTACTTGAAGAAATACTTGTAAATTAACTTGCTGATTAATAATCCTTCAATAGACTAATCGAATCACATCTTTCTACAAAACGTTTTATCCTCCCTTCACCTAAAAAGCAAACGTTTAATGTTTGACCACATGCAACTGAACACAATATGAATGTAGGAACTATATGCTGCCCAGACATTGGATACTGTACCAAAAGAAAACACTGATGTTGGACGATTTCCTGCTTTTGCCGAGTTTGTTCAATCTATGAAATGTCAGAAAATGGGGAAAATCTGCCCAATTTAAGACCAAAGTGACATCTTCCAATGCCTTGTTGTGTCTTTCAAAACACAAAATATTCAACTTCTATACATAAGACAAAGAATAGCAGCATATCTTTACAACTAAGACAATTAGTTGATTAATAAAATAGTTGCTGATTCTTTTCTGAGAATGTATTCATTGTTTCAGCTCTTTTTACAACCAACATCTTCATCTAGAGGCCCTTTAGTTTGTTCAATTTCAGCATCGATACAAAAATATTAGTCTCCTTTTTACTTTGGTTACATCCTTGGCCACAGACCCTTCACTTGACTTAATGAATATTTAAATGATAAACTAACCACTGGAAGCTGAACATACACACCTTTGTGTCTGACAGCAATGTTGTGTGAGGGTAGAAAAATGTGGACGTACCTTACAGCTTGAAAAATAGCTTAAGACTATCTACAGTGCACAACCTCAATGTGCAAATCTGCTTTTAACCAACCTGTGTTATTTCTTTTTAATGTCTCAAACGGACGGATGCACACACGGGTACAGACAACACACACACACACACGTAGCTTTGGCACCCAGACAGTCACAAGTGAGGAATCATGGCAATGCAGAGTTTAGTACAAACCTGGAAGAAATATAGTTCAAAGTGTATGAAACAGCATCAAATAATATTGCAATGAAAATCACAAAAAAGGAATGAGATATGTGAGCAGTGGATCTACAAAACAAATAAAATCACTCTCACTCCAGTCTTGTCCAATAACTACGTTCCAGCCATAGATGAGTCATTAATAAAACAAACTAAAATCTCTACTGGGTTGGAGCAGGTCAGAACCGCATTACCCATGAGCCTCTTCTTCTGTGGAGCTCTCCTGGGCGCTACTGCCACCTGTGGAGCCCGACCAATGAGAAGGAGAGTTGGGGTGAGTGAGGGATGATATCAAATGGAGAAAACACACACACACACACACAGGCACAGACACACACATTTAAAGGTGATGGAGGACATAGAAAAGTGGGAAACATGCAAGATGGCACGAGAGAGACGAAGAAGGGCCAGAGTTAAAGATTAGTAAAAGAAGAAGTCAAAGTGAAACAAGACTTCTATTTTTTGCTACAAATTAAAAAAAAACGAATTAAAATCCTAATTGCCCCTTTTAACAATTTCAACAAACAAAAATACAGCTTTTTAGATTGACTTTACATGTTTGTTCTTTAATTGATTGATTGATTTAATTGAATTGCTGCTTATATTTTATCACCGTTATATTCTGTTACCAATTATAATTTGTTTTAATATAGCATCCAACCGAAAGTATTTCATACAATTGTACTTGTATAATCGTAAACAAAGTGACAATAAACATCATGAATCAGTGAGAGGCAAACTCAAATTAAACTTCTGTGTTTTCAAAGAAATTCCGTTAATATGATGTTGTTCATATCAGTCAGCTTCTCTCAGAGGCTTCTTCTTCTTTTGTGCCATCTTGTCTGTCTTTCTTACTACACTTGGTGATGTAACACACCCTCAGACAGACATATTGGAGTCCTTCTGCTTTAATATCAGATCACTTTCTGCTCAGTGGTTTGGACGGTTATTTTCGGATCCGTTTCCAACTGAGAAGTGATACAACATCAACCTGCTGACTGATTACTTCCCTCACAAAAACTCATCAGTGAGTCATATTGTTGCACTGGGTGACATGTTCCTCCTTTAACATCAACACACTGTGTGTTGTGTTATTTTAAAGCAATCACACATACACAGTCCTGCTGCATCAAATACTCAGTAGAGAACCAAATGTGGATCAATCCGCCCCTGAAAATAGTCCCAAACTAATGCACTACTTTCACCAGTTCGAGTAACATTTTGATTACAACTTTTTTCAATGATTTTAAGGGAATAGTAAATGTATTAAAATATATTAGCAGTGTTTCCCATACATTGATTTATTTGTGGCGGGTCGCCACAAACGGTATATTATTTTTTTCGGTGGTCTAATGGATAGTGAGGTGGGCTGATGATCGGAAGGTTGCGAGTTCAAATCCTGCCTGGAACATCACTACTAGTGTGCCCTTGAGCAAGGCACTTAGCCCTCGGTTACTCCAGGGAGAATGTCCCTGTAATTGGTCATTGTAAATCGCTTTGGAATAAGGCGTCTGCTAAATGCCTAAATTGTAAATTATATTTTTGGGAGAATAAATCCCATTTAGAGAAAATCTTTTTTTTTTTTTCTTTTTTTTTTTTTTTTTTGAAATTTTATACATTTTTTTACTACCCATTCACGGAAACCGGTTTTCGCAAGAAAATTTGGAGTAAAGTTTCTGTTATGTGAAATTATTTTAGTGATTGTAGTCAGCAAAAGGGGTGTCTTAAACTAAGAATAAACACCAGTGGCGTAAGGGGGGGGTTGGCGGCCGAGGGGCCGGGGGTTGCAAGAACACGGGACGACAACCGGGGGGGTCCGAGCCTGTAATCAGCTTTTTGTGTTGGCCCCTACAACTC